AGAATTTAGACTTTTATAAATCTGCACTTACTAAAAATTCTGCGTATGTACAATGCGTTTCAGATTTCTGCCCAGAAGTCCTTATCTAAGAAGTCATCTAATTTCTTATCTATATCCAAGAAATAAACTACTAGAAAAAACTGCTTAAAAATAATAAAGACATACTTGGATATTTAACTTAAAATTCAAGAAGCTTATTTTGAAAAATCTTTTAGTGATGTCTTGGAATCACGTGGGATATTATTCAGAATTGCACCAGCAGCATCTCTTTCCTGTTTTCAAACTAACGATTTCATTCCAGTCAATGGGAATAGAACACTTATCCACGACTACGCGCTTTTTACCTTCTATTTCGAAATTAGATACGTTTTCTGTTTATGCTTTAATACGTGCCATTCTAATAATTATTTGTTTACATTTTTAGTAGCAGGCTCATTTATTGAATATCAGTGATTTAATTCATAGATTTCAAGGATTTAGTGTAATGCTTTTTCCGGGACATTTAAAACCAACTTTTCTTGCCTTTATAAGGAAAACAAATGCCAGGGGATGATAACAGAGATCTGCTACACTTGTAATCCTGGGCTCGAGGTTTGTGGGTATAGTCCGTAATCAGGTTTTGATAAGACTGTGAACAAAAATCTGAATCATCCATGCCGTAAACGCTATTGAAATTTTAAACACTTACTTACGATGACGACTGATGGCATTTTACCTTATCATTCTTACTAAGAGAATCACATTCATCCAACACATTTTGAAACAACATCAGTTTTGCAACAAATATTTCCAGCCAACCAAAGTTAAAAATAAATTTCTTTGTTTGAAAGTTAATGCACATTAAGTATAACGCTTCTCTTAAACGTTTTGACATTCGAAAACAATCCAAAATTAAAACGTAAAATGTTTTATGGCTAAAAACCTCCTTTTTGTATTTGCGTCACCATTTTAAGCTCCAGGACCGATGATAGGTTGATAAAATTTACTTTATCAAAAGAAACATTTCAGAGCTCTGGAACTTTCGACTCGTACAGATGTTTAGAGTATCACAGAATAAAATCAGTAGTTACACTTCAAACTACTATGAACACTAAAGACAAAGCAGTGCAAAGCACATCTAAAAGGCGAAGCCTTCACGGATATTTCGAAACTCCGAAGTCGCTCTAAGCTGACAACTCACAACAACAAACGAGAGCAAATACTTTCTACAGTCTTATATAGCTTTCCCTCGGCCACATAGAAATTTCTAGTGCTTCTTGAGAGTACTGGAAGGCATATGAGGCCGAATAGAGTTACCGCTACATACGAAATCAATTACAATTGTTCAATTGCACTATCTATTACGGTAATACACAAACGGAACAAAACGTCACCAAGTTAGGCAACTTTTGGCGGTTTATGGCCAAATAGGTCGCCAAAACCGTTGCTATCTTGGCGACATCTCGCCAAATTAACAAAATAACCATTTTCTCAATGTTAAATAAACTTGCCCCTGTATTCTTATTTTACCGCACAGCATTGTCTCTCTAGATTTTTATGTTACATTATATATTTCACAAGAAAACTATATATCTCACTCAGAAAGAAATTGAATTTCTTGTGAACAATATTTTTTATGTAGAATACTCTGATTCTGAAGAATCATGTAAAAAGGCAAAAGTGAATCTGAGCTTTCTGCAGATAATATTATAATTTTTTTAATGACTGTGAATAAAATGATAATTTTTATGGAAAAAAGCAATTCAAATGGTGCAAAAAAGAACCAAATCGGGCGGTACGAACACCTAAGCATAACACAATAATTCAGCTCCTTGGTCTGAAACAGCCTGCAAAAAGAGATTCTCAACGCACTGGGAAAACGGTGCACCACCAGGGTGCCTGAAGGACCCTACCCCTTGTAGAACAGATATGCTATTTCGAATACTGTCATGAGTAACTTGTATATATTTAGAACTTTTTTATATAAATATTAATAATTAAACCATGTTTTTAGTTTTTTTTAATTATAAGAATAGAAATAAGATAAGAGATAAATTCAAAGATAAATTTCTAAAAAAAAAAGACTAAAGTGTGCGTAGACGTGAAGTACTATCTCGGAAGGCCGACAAAGGATGAATGAGTTGGCTATAGAGCTGGCTGATGCAGAAACAAAATTCATATAAATAATAGGCAAAGTAGTGTGTTTCTTGGTGCACTAGTAATAATTAAACCTTAAATCTATTACACAATATTAAGAGGTATAAATAATCAGATTAATAAGTTATATAATATGGGTACTAAGTATGGCCATAGGCCGTTTACTATTATTTGGGTCATTAAAGTCGTAATTGTAAATCCTTATAACTGGGTTGTTGATATTAACAAGATTGGCATAAAAGTTCCGGGCTAGCCGGCAGTAAAAACACTTAAGATGTTACATTATATAGAAAAATAAAATAATTTCACATATAATTGCATTAAAATTATCTATCTATGCATAAAATTCGTAAGAATAACTTTCGTATTTATATTTTTTACACTTGTGTTTTCTGCCATTTTCCTTTGCGATAAATTGCGAGCAGCATTTTCAATAGATTTTATCAAAATTTGATATTTTTACTACTTCTTTTACAGATACCTTAGAGCATAAGACAAATGTAAGTAAAATTTAAAAAAATACATTATACACAGAACTATTAGAAGGTTACATATAGAGACTGTAGATAGCTATTGCAATAATATCAAATGGGGAAATGAAATCTTTTGACATCACGTGAGTATTGATTCTATTTAAGATAGCTGTTCCTGACAACTACGTAGGGTAGAAATAAGACTAGTAGTAAATTTAATCTGTGTTAAAATGTGATGAGTTATTTAATGAGTGGATGTATGACATATGATGAATTTCTTCCGTATGACAAATTACATTACATTTGCAAAATATGAGATCAGTGATTCAGAAATGGTATTTAACAATTATGCATGATAAAAATAGTTGTTCTACGAGTATAATAATAAAGACCTGAAAGTTCAATTCATTATCAGCTTTATTATTTGCTGGCGTATTTGAGATGCTACCGAAATTACATCTTACCGGTCATTTTCGTTGTGTTATTGTTCTGAATACGATCAGGGATTGCTATTTCTAGTCATGGAGAATCGAGTTATAACAATGACTACCACTATTTATTTACTTTCTGAGAAGTACTGATCATACCCAGTGGCAGTCTTCGATGAAATGATGTCGCTATGAGCCATTTCACTGTAATCATTTGGATAACAAAGGGTCAATAAGAAAATATGCAAAAATATGCAGCATAAATTTATTTTAACGCAATTTCCACCATAAGCGATGAAATACAAGGGCTATCCAGAAAGTAGATTACGTTTTGGAATAAAAAAATAAACAAAGTATAGGAAACAAATTTTATTATATACAGATGAAAGCCACACTCAAATACTACTTTTCTACATAGTCACCATACAAATTAAGGCATTTATCGTAGCGATGTACGAGCTTGGAAATTCCTTCGTCGAAAAATTCGGCCGCCTGCGCCTTCAACCACTTCGTTACCTCTTCTTGCAGCTGTGCGTCGTCATCAAAACGCTGCATAGCCAGCCACTTCTTCATTGCTGGGAATAGGTGGAAGTCGCTCGGTGCCAGGTCGGGACTGTACGGCGGATGAGGAAACAACTCCCACTTAAAAGATTCAAGAACTTTACGAGTGACATTTGCCGTGGGGCCGGGCGTGTCGTGAATTCAAGCTCAACATTCTTAGAGCTCTGCGCTTGTTTTGAATTGCTCTTCTGAGTTTTTGGAGAGTTTGGCAATACCTTTGAGAGTTTATTGTAGTGCCTCTTTCCAGGAAGTCCACCAAAATTACACCTTTTCTGTCCCAAAAAACAGTCGCCATCATCTTCCTTGCCGACATTGTTTGCATGCATTCTTGGGTTTTTTTGGGGAGAACTTGTGTGCCCCCACTGCATTGATTGCAATTTCGTTTCACAGTTCACATGTTTCACCCATGTTTCGTCACCAGTAACGATGCGATCGAGTAAAGAGTCACCATCCTTATGGTAAGCGTCCAAAAAGTTCAACGCTGCAGCCATTCGCTGATTTTTGTGGTTCTCTGTCAAGATTTTTGGAATCCATCTTGCACAAAACTTGTGGTAACCAAGCTTTTCGCTGATGATTTCGTGCAACAAACTTCGCGAAATTTGTGGAAAACTCAAAGAAAGTTCCGTTATTGTGAAATTTCGATTTTCACGGACTTTAGCATCGACTTTTTCGAGAAGTTCGGCGGTCACTATGCTGGGTCTCCCACTTCGATCTTCGTCGTGAACATTGGTTCGGCCATTCGGCCATTTTGAAATCTTATGACCCACTGACGCACTCCACCTTCAGTGATAATGTTGTCCCCATACACTTCACGAAGCTGCCGATAGATTTCTATCGGTTTACAGTTTTTTGCAGAAAGAACCTTATTACTGAGCGCACCTCGCAGCTCGCGGGATTTTCAATTAACGCAGACATTTCAAACCGTCACAGTATCTGAACGGACGGAGCACAGCACGAACCTCTCACTAGCACGGCTAGATGCAGACTGAGCTGCGCAACGCTCTGACCCCAAGATGGCCGCGCTAGCCCCGCCCCTAGCGGACACAGACGGAAACGTAATCTACTTCCTGGATGGCCCTCGTAACATGATGCCACAGATATGTTCGAGTACAAAACCTTAATTCTGAACGCCGCATCCTAAGAAGCTGGCCGCCATGTGAAAATTTAATATTAAGTAAAATTTCTTTTTTTATCAATGACGCTCTTTTGAAGTGTTCATTTTTAGAGAATTTTTTTTTCATAAGTCTTATGAATAACACGAAAAATGTACATGGTTATTTACTGATACTCTCATACATATTTTTACATGTGTATCACAAATATTATTTCTTTCAACAAAAATGTAATTCTATATGTTAGGAAATTAATATGAAAAGCGAAAATACAGCGAAATGCTACATACTTCAGAATGGCTCTGATCGGTCAGGGGCAATAACGACTCATAATTGTCTTGCTTCTGTTTGAATATTTTGTACATTTCTTCATTCATACGACGTGTACGCTCCAAGTGAATGCTTTTGGCGTCTGGCGTATATACTACAAAGAAAGAGAAAACATTAAATTTCAATTCAAATACAAATTTAATGCATATTAATGAAAATATAAATTATTAGTTCAGATAAATATAACAGTATAGTAAGTAAAACATTTCATTCCTGCATTTGAAAAAATAGAACAAATATTCTTTCTCGAAACTTTTCATACTTTTTGGAATAACTATTTGGAAAAATTGTGCATGACATCCGACATTAATATTGTAAAAAATTAGTTTCACAAGTTTGATGTTGATTTCAAATCAGAAAGATTTTGACAAATACTTCATATCTTCAATTTATTTGATTGCACAGATTCTCTTCGCGAAGAAGAGAGATAATAGTAATGTCGTTTCTGCGCATTGTATTGTTTCTGCGCTTTACCGGAAAGTAATGTCGTTTCTGCGCATGTCGACAACAACATGCTAAGGGCAGAAGGGGAAGCAAATGCATGTCAAAGACTCTTAACCACCCTTGGTCGACCATCCAAGAACATTTAAAGCAGAATTGAAAAATAAGCAAAGCAGGTGTTTGAGTCCCCCATAATCTGTTCGAAAAGAACAAAGCCAACCTATCCATCACATGCAACATATTGCTTCAACGGCACAATACAGAACCAGTTTTTGATCGTTCGATTAGTGGAGACAAAAACATAAGTCCTATATGATAATCCAAAACTCAAAAGGCAGTTTTAATAGGGGTTACAAAGGGTTTACATCCCGAAAATGCGCTTCTGGGTGTTTGATGGAGTATTCGAGGAACTGTTCATTTTGAATTGCTGAAACGTAGGAAAACTGTTAATGTAGACCTTTATTGTGAACAATTGGATCTAGTGAACCACTCTTTAATCGAAAAATATCTGGCGATTGTCAACGGCAAAGGCGTCATTCTGCAAGACCGCACTGTGCAAGACGAACACTGGAAAAATATAATGAATTGGGGTAGGAGATACTACCTCACCCACTATATTCGCCTGATATCGCACCCTCTGATTTCTATTTATTCCAATCCCTACAACAATTTCTTAGTGACAAAAAATTTGAAAATTTGAATGATGTCCAAAATGCCATTTAGAGATATTTTACTCAAAAACCAATTGATTTTTATCGGTCTGGGATTGAAATTGGCATATTAGATGGCAAAAGGTTGCTGATAACGAGGATGATTATATTATTGATTAAAATAAAAACTTGTTACAAATTTATTCGTTTCAATTTAATGTAAGAAAGCGACATTACTTTCCGGTCCCCCTATTATTATCTTTCGAAATGGATGAAACTTTTCCAAATTGAGATAAAAGCCAAAACACAGGAATAGGTCCAAATTAAAGTGTAAGGATAGACTAAAATAATCAAATACGGAAATACACAGAGGTCTGAGAAACCATTTAAAGGATTTACTATGCGATAACTTGGCTGACTGGGAAAATCCTAGTATCTGTAAATCGCTTCACATGAAATAAAGAGATAGTACAAATGAGGAAATAGTAAAGAACTTTACTGTACACTTACTAATTTAATTACTCTTTTGTGCTTAAACGATCTGTATATATATGTCTAGCAGGATTGCAAATATGTTAGCCAATGCCATGAATTATCGAGAAATATTTGCAAGGTTTTGTTATTCACATTACAGATGTGAAGCTTTATTTTTTAAATTTGTTTTTTAATTGCTATCAATGCTTTTGTTTTTGAGAAAGAGGAAAACCTCAGTATTCAAGTAAATACATTTTAAAAAAATATCTTCAAAATCTATTAAATTCGGTAGAAACACGTTCTAGCCTGAAGGAAACAGTAAGTTAAATTCTACAAGACTGCTACTTGATTTCTAATCGTACTTATGAATTAATCCATATAACGTTTCATGTGAGAAACTATTTCTTCATTTCTTACTGATTCTAGCGGAAAGTGTTCAGTGGTATATTTTGGTTATTTGCAAAATGTATAATGAGGTTATCGTGAGAGGGTGAAGTAAACAGTTTCGTTATTTACAGCGGAACTGAATTAGTTTCATTAAACTAAGCAAGTAATTTCGGACTTAAAAAACTCTGATTAGGTAATACCATTCAAAAAACTTCTGCAATTTGCTGGGCATATTCTGGCTGCTTTTTCAGTATAATAATTTGTTTTGTGATTTAAATAAGGTTAAAATTAATTTAAGAAGGAATTTAATTTTTAATTTTAAATTTCTAGTTATACGGAATTAATTTTCATTAATTTTACCCAATTCATTTCATGCATCAAATAAAATTCACTAGCACATTGTATGCTAACGAAACTATAAAACCGTTCATTAAAATGGGACTAGCAATATAATCTCTATTCGTTAAGCATCACATTTGGAAATCTCTTTTAAGTTTAAAAATAAAGGTATGTCGAAATTTGAAGACATTTACATATAGAAAAACAGCTATTTATAAATCTCTCCCTTTGAAATTATTATCACATATTTCTGCAACGTACAGAGTCTTCAATTATGAATAGTGGGATTTCATGAAGTCTTTGTAAGATGCTTTGAAGTTTTTATTATGCGAAATGGATTGAAAATGCTTTTATTTAATTTAGTCATTCGGAAAGATACGGGAAAGATTCAATATGCACTTATATTAACATCGAGACAGACATCATTGTGATCGTTCCATTCTAAGCTTAATGTTTATACGATTCTGTAAAGACAATTGAGATTAAAAGATCCTTTCACTGTAAATCTCATCTTTTGCAAAATAATTATAATAAACTTGCATACAACCATGAATAAATCTTCTATCAACTGCTTTGAAAGTAAGTTTTGCATCATTTTGAATCTGCATTGCTCATTTTAGAATCAGCCGACCGAATTTAATGATTTAAATAAGAGATAATTGAATACGAAATGAAAAAAAATGAGTCTTTTAATTGAATGCGAAATTTAAATGTTCCAGTCAGAAGCTTTAGACGCGGAAAATCCACATTCTTATACTGTTGTATGGCTTTGAAGCATGGATAGGTACAAAATTTAGTATTTCAATGGAAGCACTATGTTAAACATAATAAACGCAAATAAAATTCTCCTTTGTAGTCCATTACCAAATCTAGAGACTCTGTTGAAGTTTTAAATACCTTAGAAGTTACATAAATTAGAAGCCACATAAAGTATAAGAAGCAAGACTTCGAACAAGATGCAGTCAGTGCAATGGCACCTTTTGTATGAATTTAATTCTTCAAGACGCAAATCAAGAAAGCAAACACTTGCATTTACATTCGATTTCCATTAATATTACAAAGAATTTCAATGTAGGGAAAATGTTCAAGAGAAATTTACTTTCAAACCTCTTGCAAGGGTCCCTGTTTAGGGAAGGTCTTTGCATTTAAATTTAACGCTCTGAAGTTAATCAAATGAATTCAGCTGTGGTGAACAGATGAAGATGAACGTAAATGAAAATAAAGTGAATCATTTCTCATAGGAATTATTTAGAAATCTTACGCAACTAATGTTAATGAACTATTTGCTGAAAGTAACTGAACAGAATCATTGCAACCTTATTCTAATTGCCTAAATTGCACTGTAACGTAAAATTTCTATTAGAACTCTTTATCTTGTGTACCTTTCAATGCGTTGCACAAGTAAAAGTATAAAAATAATTATAACGTATTTTTTACTACAATAACTCGCAAATTCAAAAAGGTATTTTTTTTTCGAAACAGAACATATCCGTTTACAAGAGCTGTAGTGCTTAAGTAATAAAATGGGTGTTTTTTATTCTTCACATACATCGTATCAAGCAACAAAGATAATGTATTGGTGCAAAAATGGGATACATCTTGTGTAGTAATAAGAAAAGTTAGCATAAAAATTGATATGTCATAATTGTATTATTTTTTCTATTTTGAAATAAACAGTTTGAAACATTATGCCCTCCTTATCTGCAGAACACATGTCAAATCTTTGAGTCTTCATCGATTGTTCACTGTCGTAAAATCACAAACAGAATAATCTTAATGCTACTTTAACGTTATACCAGCTGACGCATGTCTAGTCAGAAAAATGAAATTCAAGTACACAGGCGGTCCTTGGAAAATCCCAAATTCAGTTATTGGAGGTAAGAAGAGATCCCAAGATTATCACAAGTGTCAACATTCAAACGTGTTTTAAGCCGATACATAAAAATGTCCTTTAGCCATTAATTTACAGTACGAAATTTCATGGGAGTTATTAAATTTTGGACGATTCATGTTTCCTTTTCTCACTATGGGAAGCCTGCAGACTTATTACCAACAATCTCACAGTAAAGGAAAACTAGTGCACAACTATCTCTTTGCAAAGCTCTTTGAGAATCTGAGCACATCGCATCACTCAATGATAATCTTTAACTGAATCGACCAAATTGTTTGAATAGCTGAATTGACCAAATTGCTTGAATAGTCAGGTAATATATCAAGTCTTTAGAAAAGAATTTTATCTCAGAAGTTGACTTACAACTATGTAAACATCCTTAAATTATCCCCCAAAATTAGTAATATGTGCGGATTCTAATTAAAAAAATTAATCTTTGGATTTGTGAAGACAGGCGGGCGACTTATCACCCTCTTATAGCACCTTACTAAAGTAACTCTTACACAGAATAAGTTTTAAAGCAAATAATTACATTAGGTCATCAGCCTAACAGCTATAAATTATGTGTAATAACAGAAACAATTTCCACAGCTTGCAATAATAACATAGAGTGAAAGTAAAACTTATGCATTAAAATATCATATTTGTAAATTAAACGCGCCTTAGCTCTCTGCCTCAGGCCATCTACTTATGCCTGTAATTACAGCTAGTAAAGTCCATTTAAGTACGAAAAAAAGAATAGTAGCGACAGAATCAGTGACAGTTATCACAAGCTCTCTCTCTCTCTTTCAAACTCAAGAACTGCATATTTAAGTACATTAAATTATTTTCATTCCGATGGAAGTCGACGAAAGTTGATTTGAAAGTAATGGCAAAAAGCTGAAACGATTGGTTAATAAACTTAAAACATTA